TGGTAGATATATGATGATGAATACCTCTATACGTCCCTTTCCTTCATCATTTTATAAAATCTCAGCATTGGAAGAGAAGCATGTATATGGACTACTTCAAAAACTTCGAGTTAAGTAACACATAAAATATCATAATTAGTAACTCCAAAGAAATGCAACCACAGGGTGGGTGGAAGCAAATTTAACAATGCATGATAATATGGTTTAGCTGACTAGCTACACTACTTGAGAATTTTCATGGACGGTGACCTCGGCCTCCACCAAGCATCCATTACAAAATCGCCCTTGCCGGCCTGACAGAAAGTGTCCAGTGCAATGAAGTAAGACCAACCCCAACTCGGACTCGAGGCATCAAACCAGTGATTAGTAGCTACATGAATAGAATAGATTATTTCACTTATATAAATACACACGCACGCACGCACACGCACACGCACGCACACACAAAATGTATACCTTCATGAATAAGAGCGCATTGTATATATATTAATAGAACGTGCGCGTCCAATCTAATACCAATTAATTAGCAATAGCATGGAGAGACTTGAGATATTTAAAATATTTAGGCAAAGCTTCCTTTTTCGATGTGGAATATCTAAACGTAGTTAATTATATATCCACAGAAAGAGTTCAACCTTTATTTGCGTATAGTACCTTTTTGACAATGATTAGTCTTGCGATTCATTCGACAGACGATGCGCAGGGAAAACTCCACACAAGTTTTGGAGCGAGGAGGGAGGGTTTCTGGATCAGCCAGAAAGGAGAAATATGAGTACCTTTTCCGTCCGAGTTTCCCTTAGGATAGCGCACTATCTTCCTGTAACCACAAACAGTACGTGAAATTTAAGGACAATGCCTCATTTATAAGTTGATTTGATCTTCAAGAGCAATGCTTCATTGGGCACTTTATCTGCTAGACTATATTTCAAATTGCATAGCAAAATTGGCTAAAACAAAAATTATTGATATTGGTGATGGCCCATGCTTGGTCATGTTGGTGGAGCAATACTTTAGTACTAAAAACTATTTGTCGTTGGAAAATTGAGTCCCATGTAGTATTACAAAATAATATACAGTTTATAAGTGGAAGGTTCACTACTAATGTCATTGGGGTAATTTGATAAAAGTCACATTTAATAATAGGTAGTTAAGTTGTGGATAATATCAGTGATGTTGGTGGGTGGGTGGTGGATGATGTTGGGTCAAAAGGCTGACCATGCTCGGCACAAGGGTATTAAAAGAATAAGTCTTCAAAATGTGAGTTGGCTCTAGTGAATGAATAATGAATGGGCTCTTGAAAATACGTGTGAGCTCAAACATAATGAAATTGACCAATTTTTACGTGAAAAGTGGTTTTCCGGTGTGAAACTGTGTGGATCTATTGTGAGGATGCATGTTAGAAAATATAGTCCGACGCTTGGAAATATAACAAGATAATATACATTTTATATGTGTAACAAAGACTTTTTAACTAAAATGGTCCCTGAGATTTGCACAACTCCTCAATAGAAGTAGTCCATGAGTTTGTCCATTATCAATCATTTTGGCCATTCCATGAAAATTCTCGATTAAATAAGGTTAAAATAACAAAAATTTGTCAAATCAGTTGGCCCATTATTTATTAAACTGAGGGTGTTTTTGTTATTTTGGTCCTTATTTGATATAATTTTTTTGTGGAATAACCAAAATGATTGTTGGTGGACAAACTCAGAGACTACTTCTATTGATTTCAAATCTCTAAAGCCAAAGTGATGAGTTATGCAAATCTTATGGAACATTTTGGCTAAAAAGTCGAGGAGTTGACGCGTTGCTGAGCGAGTTTCTGGAATGTATCTCTTTCGACAGAGTCAAATTATTCGGCGCTCAAATCCCAGTCGTCGTCCTCCAACGCCATTGTTGGACAGGAAATTCAGAGAGTTGCAGAGTGCCAAGTCACAGACTCAGTGAGTCACCACTCTTGCATTTGCAGAGCATTTGAATTTTTGGGGTTTTGGATTTTGACCTTTTTGCCCTTTTTGCGACATGAACGTCTCTCTCAAGCGCCAAAAATGAAGAAAGTAATGGTGAAAAATCTGCAGCCGTTACACACGTGATTTGGGGGTTGAACTCTTTACATTATGATGTTTATGTAACCAACCCAACAAACAGCCTTTAGGCTTCCTATCTAGGCCCGTCATCAGGATGGCCCACCAGGCCCAAACTATTTTTCTTTTATTATTCTTTAGGAATTTTCTTTTAATCATGGTTTTCAATCTGATTTAAGGAAAACGAATACCACACAATAATACAAAAGAAACGATCAAGGTGCATACCAACCATCGAGTGGAACATCAAAGTCAAAACGACATGGCAGACTATGAAGATGGTTTCTAGTGACACTTAACAACATTTTTGCATCCTTTACAAAACAACTTATGTTAGACATGTCCAAAGACAAATATGACATGGTTGAGAACTTGAGACGATTTTAAGAGAGCCACTCTCAAAATTACCCTTTCTTAAGTAGCTAGAGCATGAACGAGTTGGGAAGAATACATTTCAAATCGGCAAATCTAAATACGCAACAAATCACCCAAAACTTAAGAAAATGAATAGTGAAGAAAGGAAACCACCACTTTCAACTTTCAGGAAGATTTTCAATCGAATGAACCCCTAAACCATCAAGAAACTGATTAGCCGCAAAACCCACTGAGCACCGCGACCACCACTTCTTGAATCAAATGAACCTCTAAATCATCAAGAAATTGATCAGCCGCAAAATTCACTAAGCATCGCGACCACCATTTCTAATTTTCACGAAGATTTAATTTTGCAGAGGATGAGAAGGATACACCACCTAAGGAGGATACACCTATGTTGAGTTCACTAATTTCATCCTGTTTGATGTTTGTTTTAGACGTTATGCACACTTCTCACTTTTCTCCTTAGTCTATGGGTTTTTCTCCCACCTTAGGTTTTACTCATAACGAGGTTTTGTGAGTTTTACTACCAATGCATACTTTCTTAAGCTTGAGACTCGCATTTGTCCTTTGTGCCGTCAACTTCATCAACTGTTCTACCTTATTTGCTAAAGATCTGATGTGATGTTTTGTTGAGTATTTACACACTCAAGGGGGGAGTGTTGCAGTTATATTTGGAATAGGAATGTGATTGTGTAAATCCTAGTCTATATAGGGATATCTTTTATATTCCTTTTAGTAGTCTAATTCATATTAGAGTTGTAATCCTAAAAGGGTAAGATTTTACCTATCCTACTATTATAAATAAAGGTACAAAGGGGTTATACAACACACACCTCATTATTAAATCTCTCTTTTCTCTCTCTCACTACCGTAGGCCTCTCTCTCTATTCTCTTAAAATAGCTCACTTAAATAGGTTTACAACATGCATAAGTTTTTTTATTGCTAGAAAAAAAGTGAAAATTAAAATATTAAGTATAGGTCCAATTAATCAATTGTAATATAGATAAAATCATATGATGATGATGATTTTTCATCTCAATCAAAAACTTATTTATGAAAAAATTATACTCATATTAATATGTAAGAAGATGAAAATTTTTGGGGCCTGCAGAAATTCAGCACCCTATACACTGCACCTTTTGCATACCCCTAACGTCGCCTCAACTCCGACGACAATGACATTGACCTCCACTAAAGTGACTTTTGTGGTGAATGTTGGGAACCCCACCAAAAGCTCTGAACCTACGAGTAGCTATAAGAGGAAAATCAAATTGATTCTCAGTAACTCCCTCAGCCAATGTTAAGTAAAGTGAAAGATGGGTACCCTTTGAAGTACTATTTCCCTTGGGATATATCATTATCTTCCTGCAATAACCAACAAATTAGTGTAAAGTAAAACTCCAAATAACGTACAGGTTTTAATGAAGATGCATTGAAGAAAGTTGACAGTTATAAAAAAGAATGCTTGCTTAGTTTATTATCTCTGGTTCCCTGCGGTGAATGGTTTGGAGTAATAGCATTCATCTTTTAACTTTGAACATTTCTTAATCTTCCAAACATGCGTGTACTTTGCAGCATTCTTGATCATTGATATGCAGGTTCCTTTGCCTGCTCTTCTTTCTTTACGGACAAAGACCTCCGCTCCAAACACACAGGTGTCATTAATGACATATCCATTGGAGGCATCAGTAAGTTCTTCAAGGGAGATAAGTTTATTAAAACCCACATCAGTCGCCTCCCCATGAAGGCACTTTTGCATTATCTTATCATCTAAGTACCGCAACACGAAAAAAAAAAATCAGTAAAATTGAGCAATGTGTTTTACATATAATGAAATATTAACTGTTCTATATGATCTGCTGGATGCATGAGAATTAAATATAAATAGATGGGTATATAATATACGGAAATGAGTTCTGCACACTCCCTTGATTCTTCTTTTGATTAGATTTATTCAATACAAAGACAAAAAATAAACTTAGGTGTTCAAGGGGAGAAAAGGAGTGTGTGGATATCACTTAGAGAAAACACACATACACGTACACACATCATGTATACCTCGAAAAACCACGTAGGTTCCCTTTTCCTGATCAAGGCAATGCTACCTGCACCACCGTACACACATCATATATGGCGATTCTTTGGAATGCTACCTGCACCACCGTGTCCTCTGCCGTCTTAAAACATCCATGGGTAATTCGAGCAATGGAGAAATACAACAAATTTGAAGTCCGGGCGGTGGCTTCGCTCTCATGCAGCGTTGTTGGATTGCTGGCCTCCTGCGCAACATTATTCTGCGTGGTTCACGCAACCAGACGACGCCCCTTCCCACCCCCTGCACCCCCCCCTCCACCGGAGCAAGTAGTCCGAATTCAAGTGGTGTTCGACTCCAATAATCAACAACCGGCGATACGTACGGAGCAATTGTAGTATTTTAATTGTTTTAGAGTGAACGGTTCTAATTTATATATATATATTTTTTTTTTCTTCTAACTTTTGCGTGCTATTTTTTTTTAAATATCCCTAACTGCTAAACATTACTTTAGTCTAAAGTAGGAGGGAAATTGGCACTATTCATATGAACAGTGTTTTGGACCACATTTTAGTTTATTTACAAGATTGCCACTATGGTGAAGGCGGCTGGGTTAGTTCGTTTTGGGCTGTGTTTGCTGGGCTTACCTCAATTGTTGACGAGGCTGGCCCTTTGGGTGTTCAAATGATGGGAATGCCCATCTAGGGTTAGGATCCGACGGCCCGGATTAAAAGTTTGGAGGATACTTTTGTCATCTTAATTGTCGGAACTGATTGGGATCGATGATGAGGGGATTGTAGGGCAAACGGGAGGCCATTATCAGTTTCTGCTACTCTCCGCAAACCCAAATTTCTTCGTATCGTTCCAGTATTCAACGACAAACCCAGATCCCTAAACGCAAATTTCTTCATTTTTTTCCCTCCTCCCGTTCCTACAGGAGCGTCAGATGTATCCAGATGAGCTGATCCTCAAGTCCAAGATCTTCAAGGCCACATCGTCACCAAAGTCATCGAGTACGGCTAGAAGCATGTCGAGCTTCGAGACGGCGATAGCACCGACGTCGGCAAGAGCGGCGATTAGACTATCAAGAAGTTTGTCGGACTTCATCAACGAGATCAAAGCTGATCAGAATGTTCTCTTTGATCTGGTCTTGGTGAGTATCGTGATCCCAACTCTTTGTTATTATTAGTTCAATTTCTCTGTTCGAGTCACTGCAGAGTTTTCTGTCACTCAAAAGCAGGAGTCGCTTCGGCTCTTCATTGTTCAGCAGCTACACCAGAAACGATTTGATTTGATTACGAGTCTTTATCTGTTTGAATAATTATATATATTGTTCGGCTGTCTGCTATACAAATTACCACAAAACAAGAAAGATTTAGTCACAAGTAAATAAAACTATAATTCTCTCTTAATTAATGCTGCAAAATCTGTGTTGGGTCAATAATTGCAAGCTATTTTTTTCGAGAAACAATCAGATTATTGGATCTAAGTTTCTAATTGTTTTAATTTTGAGGCTTCAATAAAATCAGCACCCACAGCTGGAGGAGTCAAGAAGCCTGACCGCTACCGACCTGGAATCGTCGCTCTTCGGTAAGTTTTCAACACAATATAGTTCAAATCCTCTAAATCATGTTCTTGAATTTTACAATTATGTATCGTGTTCTTTGCATTTCGTTATCCGAACTCTATTCGTTGAATTTGGTTACCTAAATCGTGCCTAATATTTGATGTGGCCAGTGGCTTTGTTGTATGGCTGGCTGATGTGATTTGGGAGTGTTTTTAGTCAATGGGAGACAGGGGACAAAGGTGTGGGGCAGCGAAGTCACGTGGGATTAGGAATTTAGGATAGTAGAGTATTTGCTAATTTATAGGATTAGAAGTCTTCCTTTAGTTTTGTCTTGGTGTGATGAAAAAAAAAATGGGTGAGTAATTTTAACTCCTGTTTAAGGTAATAACATGTGAATTGTTCTCAGGTATATTGGAACTAAATTTTTCATGATGCTCTTTCCTTTTCTTTTCAGTGAAAAAACATACTAAAGCAACAACGTTATGGTGGTGGGAATAAGCGTTCTCAGGTATGTATGGATGTGTGATATGAATTAGCTGACTGGTGTTGAAGCATCAGTCAATAAAAAACAGATAGGATCTCAAATATTATACATTAATCCATGCATAATGTTTTTGTTATCCGCCCTGCATCAAGGTGAGAAAGGCCTTCTTTATTTCTGGCTCAATTATTAATTGAAAACTCATTCATATTTTTTCATAGAAATTCTGTCATTATGCACTGCTGTTTAATTGCTCTTTTTGGATTTTCTAGCCAAAAAGTAGGTCAGTGTATATTTATTTAGCTCCCCTGATTTTTTTTTTAATTTTTTTTTTGTTTGTTTTGTTGGGTGATGCAGTTTGATCGAATCAGGTTGAATTGAATAATCCTTGAAGTGACAAGAAGGAGCTGACTGAGCAAGTAATAATTCTTAATTACTTACATGTTTTCATTTTAATTTATGATTTGATTGGCCCTCATAGAAATTTCGAGCTCCATAATTGTTAGACCATTGATGTGTTATGAGTATTGATTAGTGTAGTTGTGTAAATATAGTGTATGGGTGTTAAGTAATTCAGATGTTATAGATGATCTCAGAAGGGAAGGGGTATCCCCTTCTTCTTTTTTCTCTTGAACTCTCTCTATCAAAAAACTAAAACATGGCCGCCAGTTTTCTTATCCTTTAATCGCCGATCTCCTCAGGTTTGCCTCAAACCGGTGAAGGAATCAGGGGAACAGAGCCCAGACTATAAGAGGTATATTTTCACATCCCTAAATTTTTATTTTATTTTATTAATTTCAATCAGATCTGAGAATTTCTAAGTCATGGATCTATGAATAGTGTGTGTTGAGTCTCTGAGCATCTTTATTTTTTTTTTTTTTCATCAAATGGTCTCTGTAGTGTCTGTGTGTGTTTGTGCATCCATGTATGAATATGATCTCTGCAAGCTCATTATTGTCCTGGGAAACCACCTAAATTATTGATACCTTGCTTTCTACGTACAATGTTATCAAGTTCTATTTTCTAGATTTCTGATTTTGGGGTGGAGGGAGTGCTAATATAGTAATTTTCAGGTATTTTGTGTCTTTTGGGTAACTTTGTGATATGCAGTTGATTTTAGGAATTGATTTATGGTGGAATGCACTGACATAAGTTATTGTTTTTGTTAATGCAGATGACGAAAATTGACCCGAGTTCAAACTGAAACAATATGATTATTTTGGTTATGGTGAGAACTCAGAACCCTTTCTTAATCTTTCCTGTTTTTGGAATTGAGAAATTTGGTTAATTTTATGATGATTCACCGAGAATTTGTTAATTGCTTTAATGCATATAAGATAGGGTTTCTGCTTTGTAGGATCTATTTCTGGTCTTTAGAAATTGCTTGATTTGGTATTGTCAAATGGTATATGAATTTCCATGTTCACTTTGTCAGTATGTTGTTGTAGTAGTTTAATTGGATGCGATATAAATTGAGGTGTTGACATGAAATCGGACACAGGTAGTTTTCCTTGATTTCACGGGATAAAGTTGTAGTTTGATTTAGGCTATAAATGATAACCAAATTAAGTTGAATGAGTTGTCACAATCAGAGACGGCTGATGGCATTTTGAACTGCTCAGATACAACTGAAGTGGAGAAGGATAGCTCAGTGGTTTCCTAAGGTGCAATGCTACTTCAGAATGCTTTAGTTCAGAAGCCAGCAGAATCAAATGACAATCTTGGGCCAAGAAAGAAATCATTATCTGATATTGGGAACCTACTGGTATGCTTCATTATCCTTTTTGAACCCTGCTTTATTTTTCTTAAAGAACTAAAATGTTTTATAGTGAGTACTTTATTCTCTGCTCTATTAATTTTCTTACCCTTATATGGGACTGTTTGCACTTCAGAAGTATTTTTTTAAGGTACTTATGACTCCTAATTGCCATTTTGCATTCAAAATATACTCTTGCTTGCTGCGGTTTACCCCTTGGAGCATTTCATTTTGTTTCTCCTTACTCTCTGACTAAAAATTTTTAAACCCTATATAGGTGAATGCAGACGCTGCAAAACCTGCCTTAAAGAACTGTAGATGCTGAAGACAAAAAAGAAGCAAAGGATACATTGCAAGCATAAGGTTGAGATATGGAAGAGAACATTATTCTTCATTTGCCTACGCTTTTTACTACAAATTTAATTTATATGCTGGAAACTTACGGTGTCATATCATAATTCAATACGAATATATTTGGATTATTGGATAAGCATCGGCCAATTGGAAGGTTATTAACTTTTCTTATAAAGAAATCAAAGTCATCTTCTCATTTTTTACGTTGAAGATTTGGTTGCATTTTAATATTTATAGGCCAAGATGAAAGAAAAAGATTAGGCTAATTGTTTATGAACCCCTAAAATCTATAGTAACCTATTGGAAATTATATGATATTTTAGATGTCCTAAAGGTTAACGTGCCAAGTCATTATGCTGGCACTATTCTGTTTTAGTATTTGTTGGATTAGAATGTACTCATTGTTTTAACTGAGTATTATTTTTGAACTCTTATGGAGCTTCTTTGGCATGGTAAGTTAAGTTGCATATCCTTTTTTTCGTTAACGGAATTCATTATCTTGCTATATTGGCAATTAGCAGTGTGTGACAATTGGTAAAGTGTACGAATAAATGTGTGGAAGTTTGAATTGTACATATGAAAGTGAATTTGAACAACTCTAACGATTGAATTTGTAACACAGTTTAGCAGTTTTTTTCAAAAACTAACTATTTCTGCCAAATACTCAAGTATTATGTCTTCTACTTTTCTACTTTCCCTTTTCTGTGTTTTCCCCATGTAGTAGGCTGATTACATGAAACAATGAGTATAATACTGATGATGCAATATGATCTACAAATGAATGGTTTCTTATGGCATGCATATCCATATATAGCAAGCAAAGTTTCACTTAATTGGTTATTATATTTGATTTGAGTTAAACTTGAATTCCTGGATTTTGACTTTTAGTTTGTTTCTCTGTTGCAGAGTTGGCTTCATTTCATTCTAGTGACTCTTTAAATAGGTCCAAGAACTCACTAAATAGGTAATTGTCTTATATCTTCTTCCCTCTTTGTGTTTATATTTATTTTTCCTGAGTTGTGTTCGAATATGACAAACAAGAACTACAAGGGCAGCTAAGAATATCCAACAATCCATTACCGGTTGAACAACTAATTGGCCATATATTTTAGTACAGTTAGGTCAGGTTTTTGGGGATGGTTGTCTCTCTATATATTTGTTTCATTTTCTCTCATTTTGGGTATTCTTCTCTTTTCTGTGTATTTATTCTTTGTTTTAAGGTCAGTTGCCTATTTTTATTTTATGTTTTTTTTTGTGGGTTTTCAATTCGTTAATTTGTGACTCTGTTTAGATTTTAATTTCTTCTTTCGTTTATGATTAAATTGATGTTGGGTTTTGGTTGTTGAAAATATGATTTTTTCTGCTTAAGCTTCTTGGCATTTTTCTGGGATTTTTAGGCTTTCAGTTGCAAGGGTAACAGAAAACCCTAAAATCCTAGAAATCGGTATTGGTATTTGTATTAATGAATTTCCATTTCTCTCCCAAAACAATTTGTTAATTGAAAATTGTTTTCGTTCTGCCGAAGGTGGTAGTGAAATTGGATTTACATAATGACAGAGAAAATAAAAAGGCCTTGAAAGCAGTCTCCAGCCTTACAGGTATCAATTTTTTCTTTTAAGCATGTTGGTTTAATTTGGCTCCGTGAAAAACTTAGAATATAATAAAAATGTAAAAACAATTCTGAATTATTTTTCATTCATCAGGACCCACTAAGTTCTTTGTATTGGTTGATAAGTTAATGAAAATTTGTCAAGTTTTATGTTTTTATGTATGCTTATTGTGTATAAAATGATCCATGTCTGTAAAAATTGAACCTTTGGCTTATTTCTATTCAAAAATTAAATTTTTCGATCTGCTTTTTCATATTGTGGGATGAGTATTTTGTAAGAACTTGACCTTTGGCTCATACATGTGTAAACCTGAGGATTTGGAGTTGTTTTCTCTGTTGGTTATGAATTTTACGTGACTAAATTGGTGGTTTCGTATATTAAGTTAAGTTACAAAGTAGATTTTTCCTTCGTTTTGGAAAAGTGTGTAGATGAGATTATTTTGAAGTTCCTGTTCATTACAATATTATGATTTTGATAAGAGCTTTGTCTACATGTTTTTTGTTGAGTAATGGTTTACTTGGTTAGAAGAAACTCTTTGAGGTTATGTTAAAATCTATTTTGTGGATGAATCTAATTAGTTAAATTTGGCGGGTTTAAGTTATGTAAGAAATTTAATTGCAAAGTTGAGTCTTTTTTTTTTCTGAGTTATGTTAATAATTCTACCTAATTTTTTTGTAAATTCATGGTTGGGTTTAAGTTATATTATTAAACATGGATCATTCAAGTCTCAGTACAACTGGATGTTTGTTTACTTGCACAAATTTTTTGTGCATAGAAGTTTGTTTCTGCTTCTCAGGTTCTTTGTCCCCGTGTTTATTAATTGTGTTTTTCTCTATTCATTTGGGTTGTCTCAGTGATTGAAGATCTTAGTCAAGGTTCTTTCCCTATCATTTCAAGCTAGATTAGCTGATGAGTGATGCTCTTTGTACTGGTGCGGTATCATTGGTGCTCACTTTGTATTTTTCCAATCACTATATATCTGCTCAACTCCTGGGTCAATTATTTGCCAGTAGAATGTTTAATTGCTTGATCAATGATGTCGATTCAATTTGAAGAAGAGATAGTACTTTTGTTCAATAGGGATTGAGACTCATATATGAGTAAGATGTCCCAATTGTTCATTGATTCTTAGGTGCTATGTCTTTTTAGTTGCTTTGTGTAGAAACTATTCATGCCTATTGCGCCTAATACATTCAAGTCTCGCAGCAAAGCGCGGGCATATTTTCTCGTGATATCCAAAAGGATAGACAAACTACCAGCCTAGCAATAGAAATCTACATATACCTGAGGCCATGGCTCCAAATCAGTGGGAATGCATTTTGAGATTCCAACAACCAATGTTGAAACAATATAAGGGATATGAACTACAACATTTTCATATCCCCTTCAAGTTGTGATTGGTAGGGATGTATTTATGCTATTCCTACCAATCACAACTTGAAGGGGAGTTTGAATACCGCGAAAAACCCATTGGAATAGCTATCAACAACTTACAAGATGATGAATTGCGCTTTCAGGTACGACTAGCAAAATTGTTGAGCTTGGGCTCAGAGAGGAAGTGGTTGAAATGTGCTGTTGCAGATTCTGATAAGTGTAAGCTCAAAAGGAAAAAAGCCAGTGAGAGAGAGTAGAGCTAGAGAAAGAGTGGTTGTTAGAAAAGTTGAGGAATCTTTGAACCCTCCTCAAAGACTCACAAGATATGCAAGTTCCACCGTACAAAATTCTACACTCCAGGCTTATCGCAATTCAATGGAATACGACATGCACAACTATGTCTTCTTCCGTCTTAGAAAATCACAGGGTAATTCGAGGAATACAGAAGTACAAGAAATTTGAAGTTTGGGCGGTTGCTTCGCTTTCATGCAACATTCTTGGTTTCCTGGCCTCCTACGCTACATTTATATATGTGATACACGCCAACCAAAAGAACCCCCACCCCTACACCGGAGCTGGCGATTCCCGCCCCTACACCCCTTCCCTCCTCCACTGGAGCTGGCGATCCAAGAGACGGTCCTCGATAACAACCCAAAAGTGGTCAGAATACCAGTAGTGATCGACCCCAACAGTCAAGACAAGTGATACATACTGAGCACAATCAAAGAACCGGTCAAGGGACGGTCCCTCGAAACAATCCAGAACTGGTCAGAATTCAAGTGACAATCAACCCCAACAATCAAGAAACAGGAATACAACAGGCGATCGACCCCGTAAACCATCAAGAAACTGATCAAATGCAAAACCCACTGAGCACCGCGACCACCACTTCCAATTTTTCGAATGAACCCCTAAACCATCAAGAAACTGATCAGCCGCAGAACCTATTGAGCACCGCGACCACCACTTCCAATTTTCAAGAAGATTTTCAATTGAATGAACCCCTAAACCATCAAGAAACTGATCAACCGCAAAACCCACTGAGCACTGTGACCACCACTTCCAATTTTCAGAAAGATTTAAT